GTCGATGCTTCTATTTGATATAAAAACAAGGGTATTCTTGAACTTCAAGAATGAATAGACCATCCCCACTGAAAAGGTCTAAGTTCTTTGATTTGTCAGTAAAAGAAATTGATAAAAATGATAGTCAAGAAGAAGAGTGTCCTTATTTACAAGAAAACAATGGAATGAATTCTTTTTTATTTTCTTATAAACTTAATGATTATGAAGTTGAAATGAATACATCTCAAAATATTCAATCTAATGAAACAAATGACTTTACAAATACTTTAATGTTTGAAATGACTTTGTAAATAAATGTAATGTCATTTTATATTCCTTACTTTTTATATTAATATTGAAATTCATTAAATTAAAAAAAAATATATAAAACTTGAATTGTTCTTGTTTAAATTATTTCAAATGAATCGTTTAACTTCATTTCTTGAATTATATTTCAATTAAATAGAATTTTTTTAACAAATGAAGTTTGTTTTATTTTTCCTTCTTTATTTTAGGAATGAAAAAAAACTTTTAGAAAATAATGAGTATTTTATTCTTCTATCTTATTTCCATCTTTTTTTTTGTTAATTTTTCTGTTATTTATTATAAAAATAGTTTTTGTTTATTTCTTTTATTCTTATTTTTATTATTTTGTGGATTTTTTTATAAGTTAATTTATTAATTTCTTGTTTTTGGATATAGTCTTTAATGAACTATTACATTTAATTTAAATTTATGATAACTTAACACATATTGTAATAAAAGAACTATCCTATTCCTTCTAGAGAATTCAACTCTATTAACATTTACTCTTTCAATAAACAATATATCTTATTTCAAAAAATAAACAAATGAATGAAATAAAATTATTTATTTAAAAGAAATAATTGAACCATTTAAAACTAATTTAAATTAAAAACAATATAAATTTTACATAAATTTAATTTAAATATTGAAAGTTTTGAACACATAATTATTAATGAATAACTATGTTACTTGAAAATTCATTATTCTTCCCATTGAGAAAAAAAATTATTTCTTAATAAAAGAACTAATCCATGAAATGGGTAAGATATTTAATTTTTTAGTTAAGATGATTTAAATATTAATATTTTACAAAACCCTATTTCATTTTTTAGTAAATTACTATTTTACTTAATCATAAGAAAATTTAATAAAAGTTTTTGGTTTAAAAAATAAGTCAAATTGA